CATCCCACCAAAGTCATCCTGACCACAGGGCTCCCACATAATCAAAGAGGAAGAATGTCTTAAGGGGCTACAGCATATCCCGGCAAGATGCCCATTTGAGGCTTAGGCAAAATTCATCACGCAAGTTCCCCCCAGAGCTCTCTGGGGGTGGTCCTAGCCTGGTGTCAAGGACGGAAGAAAGGACAACTCCGTAAGATAAACCCTGGGTGAGGGGACAGAGCATGGGCAGAAATCACACCTAGGATCACTACTTTGGGGGAACACTGTCTTTTTCCCTAGCTGCCAAAAATGACTGTATCTCTCACACCTGTTGGCTCCTTGCTGCCATCCTGCACAATTTCAGAATAACACCTAGAGTCACCCTTGTCCTTTTCCCTCAGGAGCCAACACTGTGTCTCCCACCGTGGACCAGACACTAGGGCACAGGTCCAGGCATTAGCACTGACAATGCAACCCCATTATTTATGAAGGACTGATTCACGTCATGTCACAACAGGCGTACTTTTCCATCTACTGTCACTGAAAGCCACCAGACTTGTAGTGATGGTGGTAATAAAGGAGGCAAGGGACAGGAATGCATAAGCTATGTCTCATGTCAGGGTCTCCCCTCTTCACAGGAAGGGAGCCCATAAGGAGTGGCTGGGGGACAAGAATGGGGGGAGGGGAGCTACAGTGGCCTCAGACACAGGACGCGGCCCTTTTTTTTTTTTTTTTTTTTGCCTGCGTTGGGTCTTCGTTGCTGCGAGCGGGCTTTCTCTAGTTGTGGCGAGTGGGATTCACTCCTCGTTGTGGTGCACGGGCTTCTCATTGCGGTGGCTTCTCTTGTTGCAGAGCATGGGCTCTAGGCACTCAGGCTTCAATAGATGTGGCACACAGGCTCAGTAGTTGTGGCTCGCAGGCTCTAGAGCTCAGGCTCAGTAGTTGTGGCACACAGGCTGGGTTGCTCCGCGGCATGTGGGATCTTCCCGGACCAGGGATAGAACCCGTGTCCCCTGCATTGGCAGGTGGATTCTTAACCACTGCACCACCAGGGAAGCCCAGGACGAGTCAATATTATGGACTCATTTCTTCAGGCAAAGCATTATCATTGTTCCCTCCACCTGCCCTGCCTCCCTTCCTCCCCAGTTTTCCCAACACGCTGGTAAAAACTCCTACACATCCTTCAAAGCCCAACTTCTGGAGTCTCTCTCCCAACATCAATTTCAGCTCTTAATTTGACAAACCACAATACCAATAGGAGAAGATTTGGGGGTCAATAGCCGGGAAAACACCAAAGTTCCCTATGGATCTAGTGTGGGGGCCTGCACAGGAGCTGCTTCCCCTGTCTCCACGTGTGCGCTGACCACCCTGGCCTCCAGGCTCTTTGTCCTGTCTGTGTGGCCTACTTGGCTGACTGAGGCAGCACAGCGTGGAGGCTAAGGCTGCAGGGTCTGGAGCCAGACTAATTCTGGTGCCCCTCTCCCTGCAAGTGTCATCTTGGGCAAAGTTATGCCACCTTTCTGAGGCTCAGTTTCCTCATCTGTAAAATGGAGATGATATGGTTTCAACCTCATGGCTGTTGTAAGGACTACCTAGTACAAGTGCATAGAACAGTGCCTGGCATCCAACTAGCATTTATTGCATGCTTATTACTATTATTAAAAATGTAACTCAGGGGACTTCCCTGGTGGTGCAGTGGTTAAGAATCCGCATGCCAATGCAGGGGATACGGGTTTGAGCCCTGGTCTGGGAAGATCCCACATGCCGCGGAGCAACTAAGCCCATGCGCCACAACTACTGAGCCTGCGCTCTAGAGCCCGTGCTCCACAACAAAGACAAGCCACCGCGATGAGAAGTCTGCGCACGGCAACAAAGAGTAGCCCCTGCTCGCCGCAACTAGAGAAAGCCCGTGCGCAGCAACAAAGACCCAACGCAGCCATACATACATACATAAATTTAAAAGAAAAAAAATGTACCCCTGCTCCTCCAAGCAGTTAGGAAAGAAGGAAGGGTCTACATTCCCAGTGAGTGTCAGGAGGAAAGACACCTCCAGGGACCCCATCTCCTGTCTTTGTTCCTGCAATAGCCTCTTTGGGAGGTCTTCTTGCCATAGGTAGCTTTTCCTCCAATCAATTCCACACGGCCTAGAGTTCTCCCTTAGAACACAGACAGAAGTCCTTTACAGAAACAACACTGGCCAGCAGAATGATGGGGTGGGGAGGGAGACTGCAGTTGCTTGGTGTTTGTGGATGTGTCTCCCATATTTTCTATCCCATAGATAGTTCCAGCTTCTACCCTATCCCCCGCCCATACACACACGCAGGCTTCTCCATCCTGCTTGTCCTGACACAGTGCCTCAGAATTTCAAGCTCTTGGGGCCTCCAGAAAACCACTCATCAGATTCCTAAGTGAGGCCTCAGAGCCCCCCACCTTCTCCCGCGCCTTGGGCAGAATAATGTCCTTGCTCTTCCTGGCCCACACATCTGGTTGCGTCTTCTCAGACTGGTTTGTTATCCTTGACCCAGCAGATCTGAAGCTCCACCTCTTTCCCCAGGGCTGCCAGGGACTTGGGTCGTCCAGTGCCCTGGGGAATCTGAAAAGGCTGCCTGGAGACGGCACTGTTTTCACCACTAATAGAGGCACCACCCACCTTTGGAAAGCAGCATTAGGAGGTTTCTTTTGGGGATGGGGGTCTAACCGGGAGTGCTCCCCGGTTTGCTCTCTCAAATCACTCTATGTGGATGGTGATCTGTTCAGCTAGGAGCTGCCCCTCTGGGTAACTGGAGGCAGCTGGTCTGAAGGTTCTTTCCAAGGCAGCTCCTAAGCACCCCTAGCAACCTGGTGCAGGGGACAGAGACCCAGCTTAGAATTAACTCAAGTCCAATCAAGAAAAGCTCCAGCTCTGTCTTCAAGAGGTCACTCCTATCTCCGGGCCTCAGTCTCCCCAACCGTACAATGAGGAAAGGTGGCCTGGATGTGTTCATTTACTCAACGCATATTAACTAATTACCCACTGCACACCAGGCACTGCTCTGACTCCTGGGAATAGAGCAGAATAAAACAGACCGAAAGCCCTGCCCTCATGGAGCTGATACTCTAACAGGGAAGACAGCCAAGAAACAAGATTCTTCAATATTCTTAATATACAGGATGTTAGATGGTGATATGTGCTATGGAAAGTAAAGCAGGGAAGGTGTGTAGAGATATGACCTCCAAGGCTTATTCCAGCTGAGATATTCTGTGTCTAAAGGTCTTACTCCACTGGGTTCTTGTTAAGAGCCAGGAACAGGCAGTAGGAAGCTGGGTGGGCCCTACGTGTGCACAAACCCCTGGGGAGGAACAGGTGGTGTGTGTGTGGGCAGGGGGATGGGAGTGGGGATGTGCAGGGGCTTGAATCTCAGCTGTGTTCTCAGTGGTCTCCCCCAAGGAGCAGAACTGGTCAACTCTGGGTGTTCTGGCCTGTCCTCAGGCCAAAGCAGACACTACATCTGCTAAGGAGTCCAAGGTTATAAGGTTCCTGGCCGAGTCTCAAAACTCTTCAGGGCACTGCCATGGAAAGTCTGCTATGCCCTGCCTTCCCCCTCGTTCCTGGTCTTGGATCTCAGACCCCTCCCATCCCCCCTAGATCCTCCCCTGTATTGTAGAGTATCCCCTCTCCTTACATGGGGGCAGGGGTGGATTTTTCACCAATTTTAGCAATTCCTCTTCCATTCCTGTGAACCTACTGTGTGCTCACAATGAGGAGAGCTCTCAGAGGGATACCAAGATGTGTGACCACTTCCCAGAAGGAATTTATAGCCCACCTGGGGAGGTCAGGCTAACAAACATGTGAGGAAAGAAAAATCATCTCTCACAGTCTGCTTTGCAGCTTGCAGAGCGCTTTGGACCACACACCCTCATGTAAAGCCATGAAGATTCTATTGTCCCCATTTTACAGATGAGGCAATTGAGGCTCAGAAAAGCAAGTCCTCTTCCCTGAATCCATGAGTCCATGGATCCAACCTGAATCCATATTGCCCCATGGAAGGATCAGGGGAGAGGCAATGAAGATTAGAGTTTCCAAATAAGATTTCTTGGAGAGATGGGTAAGACTTTGGTATAGATGGGCCAACGGTCCTCTGCCTCCAACCTGGAGCAGGGCCAAGCTGGGCATGGAACCCACTTCCTGCTGCTTCTCCTAGCCTGACAAGAAGTAGACTGGGGGTAAGGTGAAAGCCTGGCTGTCTGGAAAGGCACGTGGGATTATGGATGTGCTCACTGGCTTAAAAGAACCAAGTGGGGTAAGGATTTCAAGGACCCACAGTGATGGCATTGGGCACCTTTCTGGTCTGACTTTTCAGAATGCCCTTTCTGTTCACCAAGGGCAAAGATCCATCAGCTGGAAAAGAGGCTCTGCTATTTCAGGTTAATTCATTCCATTCTTGTGGGGCACCTTCCGAGTGCCAGGTACTATGGTTACAGCCGTGAACAAAACAGGTCCTCGCCTCCTGCAGACCTCCTAGCTTAGCAAGGAGCCAGCCCTCTCTTGGAGGAGCTTCCTGACCAGATTTTATTTCTTCTTGGAGGTGCACTCTCTGGGCCTACCCCTTTCAGGGGAAGAAACTCAAGGGAGGGGGAGAAGAAATGAACCCCTGCTGATCAGGGGCCCAGAAAAATGGAGACCCAACCATCTGACTGTGGTTTGTGGTCCAGGTCCACCACTTTTCTCCAGCAAGTTACTTAACCTCTTGGAGCCTCCTTTTTTGCTCATCTGACAATGGATTAAGACCTACTACCTCACTGGTTAATTAGGGAGAGGGTGTGGATGAAATCAAGGAAGTGTCCATGTGAGTGCTGTTAGCTCTTCTCTGATGCTCTGACCTCCCCCACCTGTCCTCTCTGCTTCTGCGTGGTTAGGACCATCTTTCATCCCCTTTCCCACACACAGCTGAGCCCTCCTCGCAGCCAAGGCAAGAGGAAGCCCATTCTGTTCAAATCGTCAAGGATTATAGAGGTCGCTCTAGATCCCTGCCTCTGCCTACCCTCTCTCCCCAGTGCTCATCTCGAGGAGTGCTGGGGGAGCCGAGGATGCCCCGCTGGGCTGTGACCTGCGGGAGACAAGACAAAAGCCCAGAACTCCCCGTGGCTGGGTACCCACTTCAGCAGGGCCCAGACGGCGCCCGCCCCCCGCCCCACGCCCGGCAGAGGGCCGCCCCCTCACCCGCACCCTGTCTGGCTCAGTACAGTCTCCTATCATACATCTTGGCCGGAGGAGGCGGGAAGCACAAACGTAAACATCCCTTAAGAAATCGCCAACTCTGCCGTCCCCATCTAAGGATACATACATATTTTTAAAGGAACTGAGGGACACGGGGGAGGGACGCAAACGCTCAGAAGAGTGAGGGATGGGAAAAGCGAGAAGGCAAACTTCCAACCGATCTCAGCGGAGACCCCATGCACCGGCAGCGGCCACCCCACCGCATCGGCTCCCGGGCGGAGGGCGCGAGGGCAAAAGTGGCTGCATTTCGCCGCCGTCCAGTGCACGGCACTCCGGGCGCAAACTTTCCAAGGACCGCCCGGGGAGCGGCCGGCGGGCTCCGGGGAGCCTGGGGGGCGGCCGCCGAGGCGGGGTGCGCTTGGACAGGGAGGCCGGAGGACGCGTGCCGCGGGGGTGTCCCGCCCTCGGTTACCTGGGTTCTGAGTGTCTCGGGCATCCGGCTGAGAGGGCGCAGGGACGCAGCACAGGCAGGAGGAGACCCGAACTCTCCGCCCGGCCGCGTCCGCCACGGGACAGCCCGCGCTGCACCTGGCTGGGAGGTCGGCGCGCTTCCCCGAGGGCCCCGCCCACCCCTCCCGCGCGGGGCGGGGCCGGGAGGGGAGGGGCGGGCGGGGGAGGAGCCGAGGCAGGGCACAGGTCCCATCGTGGGGCCTGCACCTAACAGTGTGCCAGCCACGCTGGGCTCCGTGACCTCCAAAGGGTCGCCCCCTCACTCGCCAACCTGCGGTGCGAGGCAAGCCAGGCGCCCAGGTGGAGTCGGGGGTGTCCATAGGCCCCCTCTCCCCTGCACCTTCCACGCCCTTCATGCCCACCCCCACTTTCAGGGGCAGAGACCTGGGAGCCCCGAGGCCTCCTGGAGGGCAGGGCCACTGAGCCTGCTCTTCGGAAGAGTGCATGGGGTGGAGCACAGCGGAAAAAACAACTGGGTGCCCGCAGCCCCACCCGACCATGAACTCTCCCCCGTGGGAGAGGCTCCTGGCTGTTCTGGGCCCCTGTCATCAGTTCCACCCAGCTGTCTCGGGAGTGCCCCAGCAGGGGGGTGCTTTGCCACCCTCACCCTTTCCCCAGGTCTGGAAGGTGCTGGGCCTGGAGGAGGACACGGTGATAAGAGTCAAAGGCACACAGAGGGCAAAGAAAAAACATCACCCCCTGACCCCCGCCACCCAGACTCCGTGGCTACTCCTATGTGCTGAAGGAACAGGTTGCAGGCTACTGCCTGCCTTCCCCCCTCCCCCTCCCAGAGGAACTCAGGAAAGTCCACTCTTTGGATAAAACTCCCAGACTGAAGTGGAGGTGCACCCCACCTATGACCCCAGGCTATCTGAGCTCCTTCTCCCTGCCTCGCCTTGTTTGCTAGGTGTGCAGGCAGTGGCAGGAGTACTGGACCTGGAGTCCAGAGACCTGGGCTCTAGCCTCCATTTAGCTCTGTAACCTGCAGCAAATCTCTGTCCCTTTCTGAGCCTCAGTTTCCCCATTTGCAGTGAGTGGGTTGCAGCTGATGATTGCTAAGGTCCTTTCTATGGATCCTCAATCATGCTAGTGAGCATCCGGCTTATTATCCACAGGTTTTCCTGTGGATACATATCTTGTAAAGGGGTGTGTGTGTGTGTGCCTCTCAGTCTGGACTAGCTTGTCCTCTCAGACTTAAGTTATTGAAGGGCAAGTGATGTGGCTGTACCAACAGGGAGGCAGTCGTCCTGTGCAAACCAGAGCTTGACAAGGGAGCGTGGATCCCAGTCCCAGCTTATGCTGAATTCAGAGTGGCCTCAGGCAGGTCCCTCGTTAATCCTTGCTCTGCCTTCCCAAGGGTACTGGGGGACTAGATGAGCTATGAGCCATGAAGGCCTTTGAAGAGGGAAGGCAAAGGGTGTGTGCTTTCTTTTGATGCCCATGGCAGCGAGGGGCTTCGGAGACAGAATGGGGCATGAGCTGCTTGAAGCCTATAGAGCTGGCTCGTCCCCACCCTGTAGGCGCTGCAGCAGGTACAGGTACCCCCACATCCCAGCCATACACAGACACCAGGAAGGTGAACAGAGTTGCAGTGCCCCACCAGACTCCAGCCCCCCGCAGGCCTCTGGGTGTGTGGCTTGGGAAGCCAAAGAGGGAAGATGAGTCTCCCAACATAAAGGGAAATGGTCAGTGGGTTTCTTTCTTTCTTTCTTTCTTTTTAATTAGTTTTGGCTGCGTTGGGTCTTCGTTGGTGCGCGCGGGCTTTCTCTAGTTGCGGTGAGTGGGGGCTACTCTTCGTTGCAGTGCGTGGGCTCCTCATTGCGGTGGCTTTTCTTGTTGCGGAGCACGGGCTCTAGGCGCGCAGGCTTCAGTAGCTGTGGTGTGTGAGCTCAGTAGTTGTGGCTCGCGGGCTCTGTATCGCACGCTCAGTAGTTCTGGCGCATGGCTTAGTTGCTCCGCGGCATGTGGGATCTTCCCGGACCAGGGCTCGAACCCACGTCCTCTGCATTGGCAGGCAGATTCTTAACCACTGCACCACCAGGGAAGCCCCAGACACCTTATAAAACATAACTCATATAATCCTTTTTGGGAGATTAGCCCCGCGCATCCATATGACTTGGAGTCTCCCATCTCTCCCTCTGCCTCTCCCTGGCACCTGCGCTTTTAGGGTGCAGGTATAGGAAGTTATTTTCCCAACCAGGCACCTACTCCTCAGCGGCCCGGCCAGCTCCTCCTGGGTGGGCCCAGACTGTCCTCTTCGTTCAAAAGGCTGTCTGAAGGCAGAACAGTGCCAAAGAGACCCTCACCCCTCTTAATAGCAGAACGTGGGTCCCTTGCGCGTTCTCGGCTCCCTTGCACCCAACTCTAACTTAAGCCAACAGAACCCCTCCCACTCTTATCTCGCCTGTGATGGCGTCATCAGGTCAGGGCTTACAGCTCCACTTTGAGAAAACTGAGGCTGGGAAAGGTGCCAGGATTCATCCAGCAATGGCGGATCTGGCACGGCACCTCCCGTACACTGTCGGAGCTGCCCTGCTGACAAGGCCCTTTCCCGGGCATCATCTCATCAGGGCTGGAAGCATTCACCTCCTTTCACAGAGGCAGAAATGGCCACTCAGGGAGAGCGTGTGGTTGATGGGAACTTCTCGAAGAGCATTCCTTTCAGCCACTGTGTTCACACAAGTGGGCAGTGCTGGTATTAGTTTCCTAGGGCTGCCGTAACAAATTACCACAAACAACAGAAGCTTAATCTCCCACAGCCCGGGAGGCTGGAAGCCCCGAATGTAGGTGTCAGCAGAAGTACACTCCCTCCGAAGTTTCCACAGGAGGGTGTGTCCACGTCCCTTCCAGCTTCTGATGGCCGCGGGAGTTCCTGGGTTGTGGCAGCATCACTCCAGTCTCTGCTTCCGTCTTCCCGTGGGCTTCTCCTCTGTCACTGTGTCCTCTCCCCTTTGTGTAAGGACACCAGTCATTGCATTCAGGATGATCTCACCTCGGGATCCTTAATTACATCTGCAAAGACCCCTTTTCCAAATAAAGTCACAGTCACAGGGACTGGAGGTTAGGAGGTGGACTCACCTTTTCAGGGGAGTCCCAAGTGTGCCGTTTTTGTTCAGTGGGAATCTCTGGCGGTGGGCCGAGGTCTTCTGTAAAGCTCCCCAGGTGATTCTGTTGTGCAGCCGGGGTGGAGACCCCCAGGTAGTGCAACTCCCTCAGCTGCCTGACTCTGGAGTGACTAGCAAGCCAAGGCCACGTCTGCGTCATCGTCCTGCCCCAGGTGCCCTGGGTTGGCCCAGCACGCAGCAAATATAAATACAAATAAATGTGTGAGGGGGCAGGGGGCGCCCACCCCGACGGCTCTAGCGCCCACCGATGGCGGTGGATTTTCCCAGCAGCGATGGCACTTGCACTTCTTGCCTGATTTCTGGGCCTCTCATTGCTCACCACTTCCCTGTGTTTCTCCCTCTCCCAGCCCCCTGAGCCTGCGGGGCACTGGGGCTGGTTGCTGCAGAGCTGGAAGGAAGTCAAGCACTCCAGAAGGGGTGGGAAGACAGGAGCTCCTCTGGGCAGCCTCTGGCTTCTGCTCTCAGCCTGAGGCTGCTGCCTCTCCTGCATGGCTAACCGGCCTATAAGGATTGCGCCCCCCCCACCCCCGCAAAGTGTTGACTGCCCCCAGTCTACCCAGAGATTCCCCCTCCCTGACCCCCGGCTCTCTCTCAGCCCCCAGGCACCAGCTCTCTGCAAGCTCTGGGCAAAACCTGGACTCAGCTCTCTTTCAAGAGCCACACAAATATCCATCCCCTTTAAGCCCGCAATCCCATGCCTGAGAATGCATCCTAAGGGAATAATCCTCAAAGAATGAAAATGCTCTTTGAACAAAGTTTCAGCGTTCTAACAGCAGGAAATGAAGGAACCTATGTGTGCAGCTCTAGAGCGCTGGTAAGCAAGAGCGCACCCATTTTAAAAGCTAATTGTGAAGACCATTGCACCATGGGAGAGCGCCGATGATACTCTGTTGAGTGCAAAACTGCACTCGGCAGGAGGCCAGCTGTGAAAAAGTTGTATGTGTGCATGTACAAGGGCTGGAGGGGAATTGGGGGGAAAAGAAGGAAACCCGAAACGCCCACTTACTAGGTTTGGGATTGTGGGTGATTCTTTTTCTAACTTCTGGTATTGTTGTAATATTGTTTGTGCAATAAATATTTGTATGAGTATATAATAATAGTAATTATTGTTAGTCTTGAGATCGGGAAAGGCTCCTGAAGGCACCTATTCAAAGCAGGTGTAAATGAGCACACGTCCTAATGCGGGCTGCCTCAGTGAACTATTTGCATTTGAAAGAAGCTAAAGTTTCAGGCAAACAGTGGCCTTCAGGCTGGGGCGGTAGAGCTATTTTACAGGCAGGGTAAGGTCCTGCAGTCCCCACCTGTGGATGAGCCCCTGTCTCTGCACACCCACTCCCGGCAGCCTTCTTTAACTCAGTGTGCCCACTTTTTATGGGGCAACGGAGGAAGGGAGAGCTTACAGGTTACTCAGCCTCTGAGCCTCACCTCCTCTGCACATTATTTTATCCAATAATAATATCTGTGGAGACACTTTCCTGGTGGCGCAAGGGCTAAGAATCTGCCTGCCAATGCAGGGGACCCGGGTTCGAGCCCTGGTCCGGGAAGATCCCACATGCCGCAGAGCAACTAAGCCCGCCCGTGCACAACTACTGAGACTGCGCTCTAGAGCCCGCGAGCCACAACCACTGAGCCCGTGTGCCACAACTACCGAAGCCTGGGCGCCTGGAGACTGTGCTCCGCAACAAGAGAAGCCACTGCAATGAAAAAAAAAGCCCATGCACCGCAACGAAGAGTAGTCCCCGCTCGCCGCAACTCGAGAACTCTGCTGCTCGTGTGCAGCAACAAAGAACCAACACAGCCAAAAATTAAATAAACAAATAAATAAATTTATTAAAAAAAAAAAAAGAATATCTGTGGGGTCAAACAGGAACACCCTGACTAGGTTCATGGCTAGTAAAAGGCAGGGCAGAGAGCTGAACCCAGGTGGGTCTCAGCCAAAAGCAAGGGCCTCCTCCCCTCTGTTTTGGGGTATTCTCCCTGAGGTGGGGAGGTGACCCAGTGCTGTCCACAGCCACCTCAATGGCAGCCTGGATGGGCAAGGATACTTCTAGAAATAGGACTGGGACAGAGTGCTGACCCCAGGGAGGAGGGTGGTTGGCACTGGGCCTGAGGCTTTCTTAAAGTCTGGGTGTGGACCTTTTGAAGTTTGTTCTCAGGAAAGGCCAGAGAAGCCTTGCTGTGTTCTCTGTCCCCACCCAGCTCAGGAGCTGTGAGAGGTGGAGACAGAAGTGCTCCCCTGTGCTCTCCTGGGGGCTGACCGGCTGGGCAGGGCAGCTCGGGACAGCTGATGAGCCCTGTGACGTACCTGGCTGCTTAAGGCGCGGAAGTCCGGATTTACACAAAACATTTGGCAGAGCAAAAAGGCTTCACTTTGACAGGAGGATTTCAAGTGACAGTCATAACCACTGTTTACCAAGCTCTTACTACAGGCCAGGTACCCAGAGCTCTGTAGACACGGAATCTCATTTGACGCTCATCAAGAGCCATGTCTATCTTTATCCCCATTTCATAGATTGGAAAGTTGTGACATAGATTGGAAAGGTCACACAGCCAGGACTCGGGACTGGTCCAGAGATTGTGCCATCAATTGCTGTGCTACAGTCTTCCTTGGGAACCAGAGGGTACATTTCAATTTCCAAAAATTAAATATATATACAATTTTCCCTGGAGCACATCTACTCTGAGATTCACCACAGCATATACCCTACAGGTAACATTGAAAATAGGATTCCTATTCACATTAGCCAGCCAATCTTGAGGCTTTCACAGGATCGAGCCTTTGAGAAATGGTCCACTTATGGGAAATAGGGCATGCTTGTAGTCAATTTCCTACATTAGAATACAGGGATGTAGAGATCTATTAGGTATTGTAGGAACAGTGAACTCCTAAAAGGGCAAGTGACTTCCACGAATTAAAGGCTGAATCTGCATTAGATTGCCATCTGCCCTGCTCGAATTTCTCCCTCCTCAAAAGTTGTTGTGCAGCTATTTTCGAGGTGGTTTCTGAATGAATACTAGAAAGTCCCTTTGGGTCCAGCCTGTGTCAAACCTAGCCTACATGATTTGTTTTGTTTTGTTTTGTTTTGCCCTCTAAAGATTCAAGTGCGATGTCTTTCTTCTAACACACAGATCTGGGAATCTGCTGAAAGCAAGTCTCAGCCCCCAGGCACCAGCTCTCTGCAAGCTCTGGGCAAAACCTGGACTCAGCTCTCTTTCAAGAGCCACACAAATATCCATCCCCTTTAAGCCCGCAATCCCATGCCTGAGAATGCATCCTAAGGGAATAATCCTCAAAGAATGAAAATGCTCTTTGAACAAAGTTTCAGCGTTCTAACAGCAGGAAATGAAGGAACCTATGTGTGCAGCTCTAGAGCGCTGGTAAGCAAGAGCGCACCCATTTTAAAAGCTAATTGTGAAGACCATTGCACCATGGGAGAGCGCCGATGATACTCTGTTGAGTGCAAAACTGCACTCGGCAGGAGGCCAGCTGTGAAAAAGTTGTATGTGTGCATGTACAAGGGCTGGAGGGGAATTGGGGGGAAAAGAAGGAAACCCGAAACGCCCACTTACTAGGTTTGGGATTGTGGGTGATTCTTTTTCTAACTTCTGGTATTGTTGTAATATTGTTTGTGCAATAAATATTTGTATGAGTATATAATAATAGTAATTATTGTTAGTCTTGAGATCGGGAAAGGCTCCTGAAGGCACCTATTCAAAGCAGGTGTAAATGAGCACACGTCCTAATGCGGGCTGCCTCAGTGAACTATTTGCATTTGAAAGAAGCTAAAGTTTCAGGCAAACAGTGGCCTTCAGGCTGGGGCGGTAGAGCTATTTTACAGGCAGGGTAAGGTCCTGCAGTCCCCACCTGTGGATGAGCCCCTGTCTCTGCACACCCACTCCCGGCAGCCTTCTTTAACTCAGTGTGCCCACTTTTTATGGGGCAACGGAGGAAGGGAGAGCTTACAGGTTACTCAGCCTCTGAGCCTCACCTCCTCTGCACATTATTTTATCCAATAATAATATCTGTGGAGACACTTTCCTGGTGGCGCAAGGGCTAAGAATCTGCCTGCCAATGCAGGGGACCCGGGTTCGAGCCCTGGTCCGGGAAGATCCCACATGCCGCAGAGCAACTAAGCCCGCCCGTGCACAACTACTGAGACTGCGCTCTAGAGCCCGCGAGCCACAACCACTGAGCCCGTGTGCCACAACTACCGAAGCCTGGGCGCCTGGAGACTGTGCTCCGCAACAAGAGAAGCCACTGCAATGAAAAAAAAAGCCCATGCACCGCAACGAAGAGTAGTCCCCGCTCGCCGCAACTCGAGAACTCTGCTGCTCGTGTGCAGCAACAAAGAACCAACACAGCCAAAAATTAAATAAACAAATAAATAAATTTATTAAAAAAAAAAAAAGAATATCTGTGGGGTCAAACAGGAACACCCTGACTAGGTTCATGGCTAGTAAAAGGCAGGGCAGAGAGCTGAACCCAGGTGGGTCTCAGCCAAAAGCAAGGGCCTCCTCCCCTCTGTTTTGGGGTATTCTCCCTGAGGTGGGGAGGTGACCCAGTGCTGTCCACAGCCACCTCAATGGCAGCCTGGATGGGCAAGGATACTTCTAGAAATAGGACTGGGACAGAGTGCTGACCCCAGGGAGGAGGGTGGTTGGCACTGGGCCTGAGGCTTTCTTAAAGTCTGGGTGTGGACCTTTTGAAGTTTGTTCTCAGGAAAGGCCAGAGAAGCCTTGCTGTGTTCTCTGTCCCCACCCAGCTCAGGAGCTGTGAGAGGTGGAGACAGAAGTGCTCCCCTGTGCTCTCCTGGGGGCTGACCGGCTGGGCAGGGCAGCTCGGGACAGCTGATGAGCCCTGTGACGTACCTGGCTGCTTAAGGCGCGGAAGTCCGGATTTACACAAAACATTTGGCAGAGCAAAAAGGCTTCACTTTGACAGGAGGATTTCAAGTGACAGTCATAACCACTGTTTACCAAGCTCTTACTACAGGCCAGGTACCCAGAGCTCTGTAGACACGGAATCTCATTTGACGCTCATCAAGAGCCATGTCTATCTTTATCCCCATTTCATAGATTGGAAAGTTGTGACATAGATTGGAAAGGTCACACAGCCAGGACTCGGGACTGGTCCAGAGA